CATCCGATAGTCTGCACCCACCTTACAGGTTGATTAAACTGAATAACCATCTGGTCTCAGAAAGAGATGAAGTGATTCAACTTAAGAAGGAGAATGTAACAATCGTACTAATTGATTGCAGTTCTCTTGTTTTAACAATATTTCTTGGATCCATGAATATTCAGTCTAGAATGGAAATATATCTAGTCTTCTGGATATCTTTGATCCTAAAGCAGCTATGAAGCATTAATGAGAGTCTTAACAACTAATCAGCAAGTTCTCCAGGATATATTACACAAGCAATGAAGCTTGGAGCAATTGGTCTTCCAGCCTACAGGACCTTTTCACTGGAAGAACTTGAGGAGGCAACTAACAACTTTGACACATCATCCTTCATAGGGGAAGGCTCTTGTGGTCAGGTAAATGTGTTATTCATAACAATTTCCCAATGCAAATTGAATTGTTGTACTAGCATCAATATGTTGGCTTTCAGTGTCTTCACTTCATCTTAGGGTTCTCCCGAACCGTTTATGAGAAGACAGTTGAAGAAAATATGAAACTGAAATTATTTGAGTATGAGACGGTGGAGTAATTCCCTCCAATTGATATTTCTTACTAGTATTCAACTCATTGTTTGTCTTTACAGTCGCCATTTTTATCTTACCCTCCATACTTTGTGATGATGAAGCCAATTGTGTAGAAAAGTTTAAGTTCACTTGTATAAACCCTATCTGCCAAAAATGCTAAGATCAATACTCTTCGTTCCATTGCTTTGTGTCTGCTGTATAGACAACTCTTCTCCTGAAGCAAAATCTACTTCCCTTCTATGTGAGTTAGGGGTGAATCCTTGCCATTGTCATCTGTAACCACATGTTCTATCCTCTGAGCTACATTCTGATCTCACACTGATTTCTTCCTGAACATAGCTCAGTAAAAAGACCCACGTCTCACCAATCATTTCAGGTTAATTTGTAACAGATATTTTATCTAATCGGTAATCAACTTTCTGCAGGTTGTGAAGTTGGAGAGAATGGTTTTTTGGATATAATCGTAAAGAATTAGATATTTAATCTTCATGTTTTATATTCTAAGAACTGGTAAAAATAAAAGGTACAATTGGTATATATATTAATGCGTGGTTAATGAAACCTGAATCTGAAAGTTATATGCATACACCAACTTTGCTTCTGGTATAAATTGACTATGGTATGGCTGTAACCTGTTCTTCACATGTGGAAATTAGTCATATAGACTAATTCAAAATTACAGAAACTGTTTGCTGTGACACCTGCCGCCTATTGTGTTTTTGGGATAGTTCTTCCCAAAATATGAAGCCATAGACTACTTAAATGACTATGCAGTATGGCTGTAACCTGTTCTTCACATGTGGAAATTAGTCATATAGACTAATTCAAAATTACAGAAACTGTTTGCTGTGACACCTGCCGCCTATTGTGTTTTTGGGACAGTTCTTCCCAAAATATGAAGCCATAGACTACTTAAATGACTATGCAGTATGGCTGTAACCTGTTCTTCACATGTGGAAATGAGTCATATAGACTAATTCAAAATCACAGAAACTTTTTGCTGTGACACATGCTGCCTATTGTGTTTTTGGGATAGTTCTTCCCAAAATATGAAGCCATAGACTACTTAAATGACTATAGCTGAAATTTTCTTTGCCATTGACTCAGATGTACAGAGGCCAGATGACGGATGGTACCTACGTTGCTATTAGATGCCTGAAAATGAAAAGAAGGCACAGCACTCAAGATTTCTTGCATCACATTGAATTAATATCGAAACTAAGACATCAGCATCTGGTCAGTGCTCTTGGCCACTGCTTCGAGTGTTACTTGGATGATTCAAGTGTGAGCAGAATATTCCTTGTCTTTGAATATGTTCCAAATGGGACATTGAGGAGCTGGATATCAGGTATTCCAAATGTTTTATGATATCAGGATGCATATTCAAATCATGTTCTTTCATGAAAAAAGATTTGGCTGGATGCAGTAGATAACATCTTATAAGCCGACATCTCTTTAAAAGAATATCACTTGCATTAGTAGCATGTATAATTTTCTGATTTCAGTGAGTCATCCACCTAGAGGATTCACCATCAGCTAACTTTTAAAACTCTTTTAAGAAAAGCACGCTGTCTGATCAAATTACGAATTAGTTGATTATCTATGCTATTCAACTTGCAAACTGTTTTGATTTTCTGTTCTTTTACAATTTTAAGTGGATCTCATTGTTATATGACAGATAGACGTGCCGGATCGAAACTTAATTGGACACAACGTATTGCAGCTGCAATTGGGGTAGCAAAGGGTATACAATTCCTGCATACAGGAATAGTGCCTGGTATCTTTCCAAATTATTTGAAAATAACAGATATTCTATTGGATCAGAACCTTGTTGCAAAAGTTAGTAGCTATAACCTGCCTTTGCTAGCAGAGCATATGGGAAAGGTATAAACTTGAATGAAGAATTTTAAATTCTAGGATTGTAAGATGTTATTCTTGCACAAGATAGATGTTGAAAGCTACTTAATTTTACAGGATGATGTTCATAGTTCGAATACATCTACACAGTTGAAGAACCTAAGGTTTGTTCTTGTCCAACTTTCAGCATTCTGGTCTCTGCTTAACGAGACGAATAGTTAACAACACAGGACTTCCTTTACTTGCAAGATTTCTGGTTACTGCTATTCATCAATAGCCAAATTCATACCTTTACACTATAAGCCTTTACTTGAAAACCTTGTGCTCAAGGGGCACAACTATTGATCTGGGAATTTAACTTTCTCAGCAACTTTTTCTGCTGCATCAACTGTTTTTGACTAACCATTCATCTTTTGTATTGTCTTCCACATATATTTTCATTGGCATTTACTCAATATTCATTTTTTTTTAATTTTTGGAAGTCAAATACTTGAGAAAAATCTGCAAACTATCAGTTGTTACAAGTCCTCTACCTTTTGTATAAAGTCACAAGTGCTTGGACTTGTACCATCAATTACATAACTGATACCAAATAGGTGGTGCACTTCTTAAAATTTCGATAAGAAATGCTTAAACTACACTCTTGGTTCACAGGGTAATGCATCAAGAAAAGTTCGATATCTATGACTTTGGGATAATATTGCTGAAGATCATCTCTGGAAGGCCAATAATTTCCGAGAGAGAAGTGGTGGTTCTCAAAGATCAGGTATATAAATGTAACTTTATCAGATCTAACTTGTCTTTGGAGCCAACGCTCAGGTTTGGACTAGTTACAGATACTACTCAGCATCAATATTGCGAAATTTTCTTTTCTTTGTTCTCAATTTGCATAGTGTTGGAGTTCCATGTTTTGTTTGTTCTCAATTAGCAAACTCCACTTTGCAGAATGTTCTTCTTCTTTTCTTTTCTTTTGAATTTTTTTGGGAGTTATATGATACAGAATCCAATTCTGCTGAAATCTAATAGTGAAATGCTAAATTTAAAGGAAATTTAGAAGCTGTAGACAGGTAAAAATGCTCCATAGGTCCTGAGGTTAATGAGACTTGTGCTCTCTCTATTGTCCGGTGCTGCTGGCTTTAAGTATATTGCTTTGCCCTTGAGACATTAACTCATATAATCATATCATACATAGGAAAAAGAGAATAATACAAAGCTGCTATTTTGCTTTGAATTAGAAGCTATAGACAGGTACAAATACATTGCTTTCCCTTTTTTGACAATAATTCCTATGATACACCAATTAGGCAGGAATAGTTGGCTAGTTCAACCTTTGTTGAAGGTTGACAATGATTGGCCCAGAAGAAAAAAAATGCAAGATTAAGATCATGTGGTGTCCATCCTTTTTAACACCATACGTCTGGTCCATAAAAATTAATCCAAAATTACCTTCTATTCAAAGTCATTTGCATTCTGAAAAAATCAACTTATATTTTGTTGAAATGAACAAAATCTTTCCGGAACAGTTGCATTTCCCCCCTCCCTGTCACACTTAAGGGAAAAAAGAACAAAACAAAACTGCAATTTTGTAATGACAGTGAAGACAATATAGTCATGACGTCCCTGCAAGTTGTAAGACCTTCAATTAGGGTAATCATATTTGCATTTAGCAATATATGGCATCTCAAAAGGACCTTAATAGGAGTGCCTAGGCCAGGACATGCCATGTAATCTCTAATATCTGTTAACTGATAAACAAACATGAGACCTTCACCTAATCAAATTTAAGCATTTTTGTTCCACTTATTGTGCGTGTGCGGCCGCATGAGAGAGAGAGAGAGAGAGAGAGAGAGAGAGATGCATCATCCTAATAGGTTTCTGGATATCTTGGGGAGATTTTCTTTATTTTGAATCCACAAGTTGGCATTTATAGAAAAGCAGAATCTGTGAGCCTGACTGATAATTATTGACTTCATCAGTTATAGGTGTACAGAACTGAGTGTTCTACCAAAGTTGTTCTCAACACCCATGAATGAAAAGAATTTGTTTTTTCCTGTCATGCAGCTACAAGCAGTCATTACAGCAGATGATGCATCCAGAAAGAGAGTGGTCGATCCGGCTGTTAGTGATGCATGTTCAGACGAATCACTGAAAACTATGATCGAGATTTGCTGCAAATGTTTGCTCCAGAATCCTGCAGATAGACCTTCAGTTGAGGATATCCTCTGGAATTTGCAATTTGCTGCTCAGGTTCAGGATGGATGGAGAGGGGAGTCCTTCCACAGCAGTGACGGCTCTCCAGTTTCATCCTTCAAACCTCCACACCAACGACTCACAATTCCTTGGCATTAGCATTTAGTACTACTATTTTGTAAAAATCAAGTGTTCTAATATGGAGTCATTTGACATAAATCAAACTCTTAACTCAATTAGAAGATAGCATAAACCTGCTTTTTGGATTTTAATTTGGATCTTTTACAAAGGCAACTTTACAAAATTCAAAAGCAATAGAGAACTGGTCACATCATCTCAAAACACAAAATCTCGTTTTAGTCTGATCATGCTTACTTGCCTAAAACCAAACGATACCAATTTTATAAATATTAACACTTGATATTACAAGAGTTAATTACAAAAAGGGGTAACTACTCCCATATCCTTTCTAGCTAGTTCTGATAACCAAAATGGGAATGCTCCCTCCCATTCAATCATCCTAACTGACTTAACTGCAAATTGAGCCATAGCATGGCTACAACTATTAGCAGTTCTGGGAACAAACAAAAACAAACAGCTTTCAAAGTAGTTCTTCTTCAAGTCTTCAATGTCTTCCAGGATCGTTTGTACCTTACAATCCTGCACATTGCTTGAGTTGATTAGGCTCACCGCAAATTTGCAATCAGATTGGACCTCTATTGTAGTCCACCCTGCAGTTGTGGCCTAAAAGTTCTATTCATGCTTGATAGCTTTCACAGTTCCAGCTTATGTGTTTAAACAGTCTAAGTGAACCAAATACAAGACTAGTTTACTGGTGCCATCCTATTCTTTATATAGATTACCTAATCAGAAATGGTAAAACTGGTCAACTTTATTTAAAGAAAAATAAAAATAAAAATTCCCGCCGTCATAATTAATATGGTTATCTTAGAATTGGACTAAACATCCACTTATCCATGTCTACAACTGCACCTATTCACACTGCCGCAATAATCACAATTGCAAAATGTCTACACCTCTCCATCTTTGCACTCCATACCCTTTACCATGCATAATTCTTTTTTTCCTTCCTTAATTTACTCTAATCATCTATTTATGACGAATATAAATAGTCAATACTGTACTTAAATGGCTGGAAAATAGACTAAAAACACTGCTTTTGCCACCAACAAATCCAAATAAATAGAAATATTGACCCTTAAACAAAAAACTCAAACAGGATGGTTGAAAATTGCCTTATACAAGAAACAACAAATGTCATTAAGAAAAAGGAGCCAAAATTGCACAATCTCCACCCAACAATAATTTGTGGCCTGAAGAGTTTAAGATAATATTGCTCCACCTTAAACTCTTAACTTCTGAAGAATATATCTTAATCAATTTAGCATAGGCAAAAATTGGTAGAACGTACAGAAGACAAACTCAAAAAAAAAAATTAGAAAGGCAAATGCTCCTGAGGGATTCTTTTGTCAACTTTACCAACTCTTTGGGGAGGCCAGACAATATGTGTGACCCTTCCATGAACCAAACCCAAAGGAATCTGGAAGTAAACCATCAAGAAATTCATTAGCTAACAAAGCCTTTTTCTACAAATGCAGGCATACAGAGACTTAATCCAGCAATAACCATTTATGTCAAAAGCAGGAATCTCAAACATTTATTTTGGACTAAAAATGTTTTCACAACTTGTTGCCCTACTGTGGTCAGCAAACATGTATTATCATATGCATTCAACATCTTTTTTTGGGTAACTACATGCATTTAACTTTTGTCCGTTCAATGATCTAAAACATCCAGTACAACAGCATTTCCAGACATGACATAATCTAAGCAGGCACTTTGAATTGTAAAAGAGCATGATTATTGATAATTAAATGCTACGAACAAACCATCAACAATTTAACAAACACAGACGCAAATCCCGTGGAAATACACATAAATATAGGTGAATAAACACAAAGAGGGCATCTTTTTTTCTTTTCTTGTTAGTACTCTACATACTCCTTAAACTGAATTCAAAAGTACAGTGAAGAATGTCTATACCGGTCCAAAGGATCTTGAGTCCAAACTAAACACTGAATTGTCTCCCTCAACCCAGCAATGCCCTTTCGGGACCACAATAGCATCGTAAGAGTGAGGAGTACTGATCCAGTCACCAGGTAGGGCAGTTATTCTCTTTATATGCATTTCCCTATGATTACTAGGAGAGCTGCACAAAGCCATGATTAAAAAAAATCACTATCAACAACATTCCATGAGATTAACTCCACTAAGCTAAATTTTTAAAGGCAAACACAGAATGCACCATAACATCTAAAATTAGGCCGCCAACTCATTTATCAAGTCTAAGCTTGGCATCAAATCATGATTTTTAACTGCAAATTGAGTCCCAAGAAATTTTTGGTCTACAGATCATCTATAATAAATTATGCTTTGTATCCATGCAATGTTCTCCATTCCATCTATAGTTTTGTTTATCCACTAAGCCTCAAAGTAATATTCTTTTAACCAATTACCATTATAAGTCACTCAACAAGTTTGTGCATATTCACAACGTAAAACTGCTTTTCTAAGTTTATGTATCAGCTTAAGCATAGCTCAAAAATCATGTGGCTCAAGCACATATTTACACCAGCAGGAAATAAGAGGGAGAAATTCTCTCATCCAGAAGTAGCAAAAAGGAACCTACCAGAAGACCACCACATCACCACATGAGAACTTGTACTTTTCGAGGCAAAATTTCTCCACAAGGACACGGTCATCTACAATAGACTTATCATTAACATTAAAAGTTAAGCATATAAGTGCAAAACTTGGTGCATTAGCATACTTGTTCAGAAGACAACAAAGAAGATGAGAAAGTTACCAGTCAAGGATCCTGTAGAACTGCTGATTTGGGGATTAAAAGTAGGAGACATTGAATAACCTCGAACAGGAACAATGCTAAAATACCGGTCAGATACCGTAAGGCCTATGAGGCCAATGGTGAAAAACTTCTTAGCCGAGTTCCATAAAAAATTTCGAGTCCCCATATGTGCACCAAAATCACCTAAGCCCAGAAACCATATCTGAAATACATTCACCAAAGGAATAAGACTCTGCAATGAAAGGGGGAAAAAATCAGAGAAAAAGTATTGCTCCATTATTTGGTGGACGCATTTTATTCGGACTGAGTCGACTCCGGAACTCAAAAGAGCGGCCAAGTCTACCGAGTAACGGAGGCTTTCACCATGATTTTCAAAGAAAAAAAATTACCCGTGTCCAATTTGTGAGAAATTGCACAGAAAGACAGAAATAGCAAATCAATCTTCAACCCAAAATGCTCTCTTTGCAGACTCTTCACCAAACAGTAGATGGGTGGCAGAGGTTCAAGAGAAGGAGGAACAAAAATAAAAGGGCGAAGAAGACAAGGAGGCTCTCATATCATACGCAAGGCGGCGGGCGGTGGTGAAATTTGGAAAGGAGAAGGAGGAAAGAAGAATGAAAGGCAGACTCGGGGGAGAAGACGGCTACGCCTACGGTATAGGTCAAAGTCAAGCACGGTGACATAAGGGGATAATTTCAGAAACCTCCCTGAGGCTTCTAACATATCACTTGGCACCTTTAAACTTTGAAAAATGTCACTTGCCTCCCTTATTTTGGAGTTTTTTTTTCTAACTTGTGCAACCCACATCAAAATATAATAATTAGAAAACTCATTTTAGAATAGATAATATAATCTCATTCTATATTTACCCTTTTCTTGTGGAATCTTAATTGTCATATCACATTAATTTTATTTCTCAATTTTTATCAACTTGGTCAATATGATTCTTTAATTGAAATTAAAAAGTCGATAATGGGCTCGAAAGAGTCTTAATATTGTTTTATGTCACGAGTTCGAACAATAAATATTAAGATATTTAAAATTATAGATAATTTACAATACTTGTAAAAATAACTTGAAAATTTTATAGTAATGAAAATAATCTTTTTTGGAAACATCACAAACAAGTTTATATATAATTTTTAGCATTTTTTTTTATTATTCTAGTTTGCAAGCTATTGACTTGGATTAAAAAAAATTAGAAAACTTAGAAAACGTGAACTATTTATAAAACTCTTTAAATTAACTCAATACACTTTACGGTAAAGAAAATAATACTTTTGTAACTTGGAAAGTCTTCAAATACACTTTGAAATATTTACTCTTTGTGTTTTAAAAGCGCACTATATTTTATCCCGTTAGAATTAAAATTTCATGCTTTTGGATTTTGTTTTTAAATTATCATTAATATACTCAAGTTTTTTAAATTATTATATACGTTAAGGAGTAGCACTCCTTTTTTATTTGGCTTTTTTTTAATCCCCATGTACTGAAAACTTTGGTCTATTCCCCCACAGTCCTTGGTTTAAAAACGTTTTTATACTAAAAAGTAAGATAACAAAAGGGTAAATTCAGAATAAAATTATATTCTCTCTCCCAAAATGAGTTCTTTAAAATTATATTTTGAAATAGATTTCAAATGCTACAAAAAACTTAAATTAAGAGAGACAAGTGAGATATTTAAAAATTGCTACCAAGTGATTCTATTAGAAACCTCGGTAGAGGTTTATGAAATTATTCCAAAGATAAAATTATATGTCTCTAATTTGCAAGTAATGGATGAATTGAATTAAGTAAACAATAGAATTAATAAACTACTTGGGCCTTTTTTCGCCATGTGTCATGGTGTAAGGGTGGCAATGGATCGTGTCGTGTACTTGTTGTGTTTTGTCATTATCATTTTCATCTCAGAAAAATCTCAACCCTAACCCAACCCATTAGACTTTCATTTTGTGCTATGTCATGATCTATTTGTTAACGAGTTGATTCAAACCAACTCGCGTAACTCGTTAAATACTCTACACTTATCGTGTCGTGTCATTATCGTGTTTATGTTAGAAAATCTCAACCCTCATCCAACCAATTAGACTTTCATGTCGTGTCATGACCTGTTTGTTAACAGGTTGATCCAACCCAACTTGCATAACCTACTAAATACTCTATACGATTAAAATAGTTTTGATGTGATGCATTATTTTGCCAAATCAACCTATTGAGCTATGCAAGAAGCACTCTAGCATTTTAATCACTTATTTTAACCCATTTGATCATGTAATCGACCAATGTTACTGTTGTTAAAACTCACTGTAAATTTTTTGAAATACATAGTCAACATAAAATTTAAAGTTTTCAAAACATTAAAAAAATGATAGATGATGAAGCTTCCCAAGCATAATATAAGTTACAAAGTCAACCTTATTTGGATTGCTATTTTTGAAAAATTTCTCCACTTTTTGTGAATATTCCTTCTATACATATTTCAATCACCCTTTATCTCACATATATAACATCCTATAAGAAGTGTTAAAGTAATTTTTCTCCAAAAACTCTCTAGAAAGTGAGATCCAATTAACCTTTTAGAAACATGGTAGGATATTTCCATAAATGAGAAGATACAAAATATGAGTTTTTAAAACATCTAATTGAAATGTTCAAGCCAAGTTTGATCGTTCTTAGTTTTTACAAAATACTCAAAATGGCTTCTATAGTGTTAATTATTATTATAAAATAAGCACCTTATCGGGTTAGTGTGTCAACCCGCTGGTTGACCAAACCCAACTCACTTACATTCATGTCACTAACAAGTTGACCCACTAATGATCCATTAAAATTCAGGTCGTGCTAAAACCTATTAATTACGGATCGTGTTCCAGTCGTATTGTCGTGTCGTGCCAGAAATTGCCATCCCGATCGTTGGATGTCTCTACTGGATAATGATTGCCTGAAAACTCATATATATAGAGTGGCAACAAAAAAAGAAAAATAATTTTAAACCAAAAATTTTTTGTTTATAGCACAACACAAAATCAAGTATTGAATTAATTACATTTACCTCTCTATTTTGACCAAACTACCAATACCTCTTGAGGTTCAGAAGTAACAGTCATCCCATTTGACTTAACAATTGGTAGATGGCGTTAAGCATTTTAAAAAACTAGTATAAATACCCGTGCTACGCACAGCATATTACATTTTTGAAAAAAATTACAATCTATGGAGGAATTTAAAAATAGTAAAATATTATAATCACGGGCACATGAAAGTATATTTAAAAAAATGAAACATTGTAACAATAGTTCAATATATGATAAAAACATCTCTATTATTTATAAACTATCACTTTGATGAAGGTTGGATCCTGAAAAAAAATAGAAATCTATATCATAAATTGAGCGACATAAGGGTCCAATTAAATATAATTGAATATTTAATTTGATAAGTAAATAAAATACTTACAAACATTTTGCCTTTGATTTGATAATCTTCTACGAAGGTGTGAACATTCTTCACACCAATCAACTCTGAGTACGAACGCCAGTATTGGGGGTTTAATTAATTCTGTTGATTTTTGTGGAGTTCGTACTATAAATGATAATGCATGATTTTTGCATGAATTAATGTGTGGTCAAACAATGCACCTCCATTTTCCTGACAATTAAAAACATACACAATTCAAAATTATCTTTTGTTTTAGACAGTTTGTAAATAATATTGTATAAAAATATATACATATAAATAATGTATACCTTTGTTTTTAAATTTCTAAGATAAGAAGTATCACAACGAAACATGAATCATGCATGCCTGTCTTGAAGAACGAGGTATAGGTTACCACTGGAATCTCTAACTTCTATGTTAACATTGTATCTGTTAAGAAGAAATTGTGATATATGATGCAAAAAATTATATTAAAATTTAAAATATATGAAAATAATTACCTGACAATAGTGTCGACTACGTCATTACAATGGATACACACCATTTTTGTAAAATGAGATTGACATGATTGTCCACAATTTTTGCATAACTCATAGAACATATTGTCTATGTTGATACTTTGAATGTAAGCAAGTATCCGAAAATATTTAATCTAAAACCATCCAAAGAATGTATAGATTACATTAATTCAAAACTACACGTAGATACTCGTTCATTACTTAATTAATTGAGAGGAATTGTACCGTAGGTATAATTGCATATTCGGATATCCATATTCTCTTAGCATTTGATATCAACAATGCTTGGGACATTGTAAAATTGCATGACCGCAACCATGCACTAATTTCTGAGCATATTTATCATTCTCAAACCTGCAAAATTTTCAAATACATATTCATAAGGGTATGAAATATTATTAATAATTTAATATTTTGGTATTTGTAAAACTTACCAACTGTGTAGGTATTGAGCAAAATTCAAGTAGCAATTGACATACAATTTGCTTGCTCGAATAGTATAAAGTGACGGTCGTGCACAATGTGCTATATTTATTGATAAACTATAAAAATTAAATAAAATAAAGTGAAAATAATTTGAATTACCTTTATAATTTCTCACACAAATACCACAGGCTAGCAAAACATTATTTTTTGTAACAGTTTGACGCAAATGTTCACCATCATCAGTTGCAAATTTATCACATAAAGTCAACTGAACTACTGTCAAACTTCATTTAGAGAATTTTGGTAAGTATAAATCAAAATTTGTAGAATATAAAATATTTTAAAGATATTGAATCTATTAACTAACCTTTTGTCAAGTAAAAGTATGTCACACTTAGTTTTATCATTGATAGATGTTTGATAGTGTGAACCAACAGATACAACTAAACCAATTACATCTGCAAAAGATCAAAAAGTATAAGTAATACCAGTTCAAATATACAACTTAAATAGAAATATGGTTAATTATGAATGAAATACCTATCAATTGCAAATCATTGTCCATGTGCTGTTCTGTATCTCTTAGTTTGACCAGATTAAACTTGAAACATGGTATGGTTCCACAATCATCTAAAATATTCACTATCTTCGTATCGTTTCCAAATGATAATTGGTACTGATGTGGTGCAAGCCGATATTTAAGATCTGTTAGAATTATATATATATTTTGAAACCAGTATACCTTGCCTTCATGGAGATGATCTACGAAAATGTTTATCATATTACTGCCTCTTATAACTCCCTGCATGACAAATTTCTGATAGTTTTCAACAGATTAGTAAATATTCAATATTCTATATTCAATATAATAAATAACATACGCTCTTAATTATTACCAGATCATCTACAAAAAGCATCTTGATACATCCCGAACGTTGAAGCACTCCATATATGGTCGTATCTATTAATCGAAACAATCTAACCTTTACATTCCATCGGTATCCGCAAGGATCTAGATAGAGTAAAGGTGTACATCGAATACTGTAAATTATTATAATATAGCATGAAGGTTAATTATTTAAACACTGTAGTTGAGACAGCAAGTAACACAAATTCAAAGAAATACCAAAAAAATGTCAAAGTGTGAAGCATATATAGTACATATAATATGAATTAAATATACTATTTTTTTAAACAAAGCGATGTCCACAATTTATCAAAGGGAGTCAAAAATCTCACGATACACAATATTTTTTGTGTAATCCCATGGATCATTATCTCTATTAACAATGAGTATTTTCAATCCAACTGGCGAAGTAGCACGGGACAGAGCAACATAAAGTTGACCATGTGAAAACACAGGTTCAGGAAGGTAAACGCCAACATTTTTCAATGTTTGGCCTTGACTTTTGTTGATAGTCACTGCAAATGCCACTTTCACAGGAAATTGTCTCGTTTTAATTGGAAAAGGAGTCCCTGCGCTCTGCGGTGTTAAAGAGATCCGAGGTATGAGTACTAAATCTCTAATATTAGATCCTGTTATGACTTCTGCCTCGAGAACTTTATCCCCCATTCTAGTAAGTCCAAGTCGTGTTCCATTGCAAAGACCTTCTGATTGATTGAGATTTTTCAAAAAAATTATAGGAGTTCCTTCTTTAAGTTCCAAAAAATGATTTGAAAGTCCAGGAAAATTCAAAGAGTGCAACGTTTCAGGAGGATTCATATTTTCAACAATGTCACCTTCAGTATTGCAAAAAGTATCAGCACTCATATAGGTACGTGATTGACTAGGAAGCATTGATAGCATCTTATCATTCAACTTGTCAACATCACCATTTTTTGGAGCCAAAATAGCACGTTCCTTGAGGTAAGTGCTATTTTTGTATGAATTTCTCAAATTTGGATAGACAGAATCTATTAACCCCATCAAAGATTGACTGTCATTTTTTATGAGAAATTACGACGGCATCCGAATCCAATTTGATTCCCCAAATTCAGCAAGTGAAATTACTGAAACCTTTCCTTCACCAACAGACAGCAACCAATTTGCAAAATCTGACAATTGCTGACGCATATTTTCAAGAAGACGTAAATTCATTAAGTACATATTTATTTTAAGATGCAGTACTCTACAGTGATCCCAAATCGTTGATTCTTTTATTGTAGCTGATACTGTTGCTTCTCTCCTACCTTTAGAAACAATCGGTAATGTTTGTCGAAAATCATAGCCCAAAACAACTAATTTTCCTCCCAAAATACGATCCTCAGAATCATTTTCACTCAACTTTAAGATATCTTTTAAAGTTCTATCCACCGCTTCAAATCCATGTCGATGTGTCATTGGAGTTTCGTCCCAAATTATCAAAGATGTCTCTCGAATTAATGTGGCTAAGTCAAAATTTTTATTGATTGAACAACTTGATGACTTATCCAAATTAATAGGAATTTTGAAATGTGAATGCGCTGTCCTTCCACCCAGTAAGAGTATTGTAGCAATGCCTGATGATGCAACTGAAAGAACAATTTTTCTTTGCGATCTAACTCGA